ATAGACGGTACTTCGTATGGTATGCATCGAAATCAAGCACTATGTCGCGGATCAGTTACGGATAAGCATGAAATCTTACTTTGTAATGATCTTTCACATCAAAACCAAGACTGAAGAAAATATTATTCCATATGAACATATGCGTTCTTGGTTCATCAGCCGGATTGATGGCCATTACATTGCCTTCAATAACAGCTATTGCACCCTGAAACAACATATCTCCACCTCTCGCCATTAAGTTAATTCTGTGGAAAAATATTATCAATAAATTATCTGCACTAAGAACCCACCTTGATAGCCGCGTTGATGAAATCGCCATGAATTTTGAAAACACTCCTATCTCTGGTCAGCCGTTCAGAAAGACTTGTACGAGGCATTTCATGCGTAGTCTGAAGCTCCTCATTCCAGTCACGAATTTGACCCGGTAGATGTTCTAGAGAATACTTTATTAATAGCAGTAATCGATAGCAAGTCATATTGGAGAAAATCCTCCTGGAGGAAGAAAAAAAAAATAAAAGAACCACCTTCAAAACCAACGCGATGAGGTTGCAGAGCATCGTCAGCGCGAATGGAATCCTCTGTAATCTCCGGAACTGGCGCTAACCATGAATATACGGGATACGGGGTAGGCATTCTATCCAGCATATGACGTTCATTCCGTCTCTTTATCAATGCAGGATATGCCTACATAAAAAGCGATAGAAAGCTTTGGAGCTCTAAATTCTTGATATTTGAGAGAGTAAATAAGTGATAAAGTTACCTTTTTGAAAGCTGGACTAACGGTGTTCAGAAGGTCGACAAGATTGTGGCATATACCTCGATTTTGAATGCTCGGTTGTGGATTGAAAACTTCATCACTTGATGAGTTGACGAAGAAACCCTGAAAATCTTCTTTTAGTAAACGAGAAGCTTAGATGGAGTAGAACGGAGATTCTACTCCTTATACAGAACTCACTTTCGTACAACAGGTAATGTGTAGACGACGCTTTTCAAGGCTATCTACGAAGAGGTATAGGATATCGCCCTTCAATTTTCTATGCCCAGTTGGAGGATTGAATGATGAAATTCCCATATTTCGCAGAGCAGGTCTTATTTTGGGCATCTGCATGAGCATCGGAGCAAAAGAACGTTCCTGAAATACTCTGTATATGTCATTTCGATCAGGCTGAAATGTTCCACCCACTGATGAAGACGTTTCAGAAACATAAAGGACACTATATGCAAAAATGAAAGCACAGATCACCACCAACCTTCGTTCCAGGTAAGATATAGTCGGGCGGAAGGGCATCAAACGGCTTTTCCCTGTCTCCTCTTTCCTGGAGATTAATGGAAGGTAAGAAGGACAGTGAACTCATATCGACCGCCGACGCCGATTCAGCGGGGTCACTTTGGCGTATCAAATCACGAACATGACGAATATGAATACGAGCTTCCCTTATTGTATATGGCTCTGAAAAATACCTAGGATGAGCGATATGCATGATTTTGAACCTCGGGCGTAGGTTGAACTCCCTTTCACCCTTTTTCAAGGAAGGGTTTGCATCGCAGAAAGAGTGATAGCGGAACAGGCCCCCTTAAGGTGATAGTTGGCACGCTCCCGTGAAGAAGATGAAGCGCGGGTTCAACTCCTGCCTGAGGTTGGATGCAATCATAACATCATATCACTGCTAATGAAGTGGTTGAAACAAGTCTCGCCAATTGCCTTCCCAAATTTCCTATGTATTTCAAAAGATCTTCAACTCTTTGATCCTCCAACATACCTTCTACAACATGAAGAACACTCCCGTCGACGATACCCGCCACAGCTCGAATTTCTGTGAAATTATCTAGGCTAACACCGTTGAACTGAAGACTGAAGCAAGTCCTATGGCATGTTGATTCCCGCTCTAGCAGCACCTGGTGTAGCTCTTGTACCATTTCGGCACTGTTCACCTGAAAGAGTGATGTCTGGTTGAGCTACTTAATTGACCACGCTATCAAAGCAACCCAGATTAGAGGAGTTTCAACACATTCCGCCCGGTATGGACACTATGCTGGTCAAGCGCGATCAAGCTTTTGAGAACCAGCGTTGGTAGGCAGGCAGGCGGCGTTGCGTCCCGTGGGAAAGCGACGACGCGAAGCCGCCGTTATCTGTGCAGGCATGTCTGGCTATCTGCCTGCTTTCCCACAAGACACAACGCCGCCATTACAGTATATGAGTGAGATTGGACGTCGTGGAGAAGCACAGTGACTCTCACGGTCCTCAAATGGTTATACAGTCCTTGATTGCACCATCCAATTAGCGCTTTTTGTGAGCTGTAGTTTGCTTTTTCTACTCCATTTTCTAGAATTTAACAATAGAACAACTACCTCAAAGTAGATCACGTGCTCCAATAGCACGCCTCCAGCCCCCTCCCCCCTCCCCCCGTCCCGTATTCCCTCACTCTCAATTTAGGCTAGGCCTAAGGTACTCGACGGGATATACTGGCGTATAACTAAGAGAATAGGCTTGAGACTTTAGATACACGAAAACTCATCAGAACCATTTAAATGAAACAATTCCTAAGAAGTTCATGGATTGCAAACTAAGCAGTGTTCTCGTCAACCTGAAGGTCAAATGATTCGCCGATTCCGGGATGGATGGTCAGAGTTAGAATGGCTTCCTGTGGTCCTGCCTTAAGTACTGATGGATCGGCTTCGGTGATCTCGCCTGAAAATACGCTCATTAATGTTCCTTTATTGATAATCTATCTTTCTGTAGCGTTTGAACTTTCTTAAGATCAAATTTCCACCAATATAATGTCAAACAATCCACTGACGGACTTCACAAGCGAAACGTATTATTATTTTCATTGGTAGAATTTCATACAAGATTTTAGTCCAAAAATTAAACCTAGGATCAAAATGAGCATTTTTCTGACTGTCGACTCACTACAAAAACGTCAATAAAATAACAAAAAAATGTCATCATCATAAACATCATTTAGTGGGGAAAACATTTCCTTAGAGAATAACCCTTTCGGGAACATGGACCCAATCCTCTGCTTCTCTAACCCCCGGCGTCACGCCGAGGCTGAGAGACGCAGAGGGTTGGGTCCACGGTCCTGAAGGGCTAGTCAACCAGACTTATACTGAGGTGCGCACAGTATAATTACCAAGGGTTAAGCAAATATTCCGGTATCCACACAAAGATCAAACAGATAGTTTCGGCATCTGAATAGGAGATAACAAGCTTGGAGTTCTTCTCATAGACCTTACCACTTGTATGGAGACAATCCGGTGAACCACTGACGGATACATTTCCCGAATCGGGTAGCTGCGCGTCAATGATCGGCTCCTTTGGGCTTGTCGTCACAACGGTCGAGTCCACCTCAGCTGATGTCATATCTGCAGCAAGTAATTTCCTATAATTTTCAAGTTTATTCCGGAAAAATGCCGCGAATAAATCGATCGATAGTATTGATTTTTGGCTCAATTCAAGATTATCTACTGTATAAGCGACCTCAGCGCTGTTCTAATGAGGAACTTAGATGATCTACCATCAAGCTCCGTGAATTCCACGGGAATCAGCCCGACCAGACGAGCTGCTAATTGGCCAGAAGTACAAGTTCTTGGTCTACCGTCCAAGCAGTTGCTTTGCTTTCGAGTTTCACAGAGATTTAAGTAGACATTTTCAATTTCTAGATGACTTCAAATATATCACAATTTCTATCTAAGTCTAAGCTTAGAAAATCCCTTCACAAAAGCTTGAGACAAGAAGTGAAAGAAATTCCAGGATTTTTCTGATAAAACAGAGCTTCTGCTAAAAACCGACTCTAATTTTAAAGCACCTGAACCCTAAAACAATCTAAAAACTCTGGAAAAAAAGACAGTCAGGCCTAGATCTAGGAAAAAAAGTGTCTATATAGATAGGGCTTGAAGAGTGGTAGGAAACTTCAACGATAGAGGACAAGCTGAGAAATTCTGGAAGCTTACGGGAAAATTTCCAAGCAGAACTTGATCGATAAAAAAACCTCTCGGCCTTCTCCGGCTAACTCCGTCTTTTGCTCGTCGTTTGCTTAAGGGAAAATCTCGAAGGAATCTCAGAATTCCGAGAACTTCATAAAACCACCTTTCCAAAAGTTCCGAGAACTTTAGAGAGGGAAATTTCAAAAAATGACTTATCCGAGCCTAAGGAGAACCTGAAAGTCACATGTCTGATATCACAGGAAAAAAAATCAATACCTATCGAATCAATAGGAAGGAAAAAAACTAGGAAAAACACAGAGAGAGAGACGAGGAGGCGTCGGGGTTGATGGCGAGGGCAGAGCGTCCCCAACAAGAGCCGGCCGGCCGACGACAGTTGTTCACGTCAGTCAGTTAACTAACAGACGTGATTACCACCCACCGTACCCCAGCCCGACCCCCCGCTCAAAAATAAAACCTGATAGCCGTCGCGGCGCGGGCCGATGTACTTTTCGTGGGTGGGATCTCTGCTGGATGACGTCATCCGAGGACGTCATGAGACTTTTTTTGTAAGTATGAATATAAAAAATTGTTCGCAGCTTTCTACCCTGCTGCCTTTTCATAAAAAAAAGCAGTTAAATAAAGAATTTCTCAAGATTTCGCCATATATTCAGTAACTGTGAGCTCAACTGGGTTTGACCCCGGTACGGGCTTATTAGGCCAAAGAGTTGAAGGGTTTGGCTGCTGACAGATCGACACATTGTATCGCAGACGGAGCGATAGCACAGCCGGAGCTTGGGTGGTGCAGTGGTTAAAACGCGCTCCGGAAAGATTGAAACGCGAGTTCGACTCCCGCTCGAGGCTCAAAGTACTACATATCACTCTACACTAGGAATATGTAGTTATAGAGTACCATTGCTGAGAAAAAGCAGAAATAAGGACTACTTGGAGAGTTCACACCTTTATCTTGATGAATTTAGAGACAATAAGTTGTTCGGACAAATGACTTCACGACGGCTTTCGCTTTTTTTCAAAGTTCGCCGTATCGCAGAAGGAGTGATGGCAGAACACGAGTCGCCTCGCTAGTGCAGTGGTTAGCGCGCGCTCATGGAAAGAGTGAGACCCGAGTTCGAATCCCGCTCGACGCTCAAGGTTCTACATATCTCATTATACACTATGGATTCATTGGTTATACAATACCACTGTTAGGAAAGAGCAGATGATTAAGGATTAGAGAGTACACAGTTTTTTCTTGGGTCAGCTCAGAGACACGGGGTTGTTTTAATAAATAAAAACTTAAAGATGCGTCGTAGCGTAGAAAGAGTGGTGGTGAAACAAGCGTTGGTAGCGCAACGGGTTAGCGTACGCGTCACCGGGTAGGGTGAAATGCGGGTTCGAGCCCCGTATGGCGCGGAAGTTCTGCACATAGTTTTACATCACTGGGTATAAAGATTTATTTGGACAGATGACGTCACGATGGATTTCGTCCATTTCAGAGTTCTTTGGGCTCTGAGTGGAAAAAAACTACCGATCGAGGTTGATAGATGGTCGCCGAGGTCTTGGAATTTCACTGGTAGTCCTCATACTATCGCAATTTTTCTTCAATAATACTCGGACGCTTGAACGGTCCTTCTTCACTGATAGTGCGGGGAGCCCTGGAGTTCCAAGGTAAGCCTAGCTGGCGTTTTCTCGCGTAGTCACCCTTAGTCCGTGGAGTTTCGAGGTTAGCCTATGTAGGGCCTCTCACGGGTCGTCATCACACCAAGCAGTCGCCTGCGTTTGTGGATCAGAGGAAGGTTACCAGCTTGCGACTAGCAGCTACCAAAACAACGGTCATTCCTGGTACGGTTTGCTCTTAACGGGGCCTACGTTGGACTCCTCAGTTTGTTCGGGGGAAGGGAATCCTCCATAATATTAGGGAACCCAAGCTGGACTGAGTCCAACACCACAGAAAGAGGGCTTTGCCTCTTGATTAAGATTTCTCCATATCGAAATGGCCAAGTATTCAACAAAATCGAATAAAAAACCCCATTTAACCTCCTTTGCAGCGATGGTACGAGGTAGTAATCATATATCCAGTAACGTTGAGTGATACGGGAAACTCCAAACCAGGGTCACACCCTTGACATGGTCACGTCTTAACCACTGCACTACTGGGATTCCTGTTCCGCTTGCACTCTTTATCACTCAACACCATCCGATATTCCATAAAATAATTCCATGATGCTATATGGAGAATATACGAGAATCGCAGAAGGAGTGATAGGTAGCAGAACAGGACTCCCGGTGATGCAGTGGTTAGCACGCGCCAACGGATAGGGTAAACACGGGTTCAAGTCCCGCCCGAGATTTGTGGCTTTTCATATCATTTAGAATTTTCGGATATGTGATTTATGTGGATTTCTGGGGACATCTTACCAAGTGTTTTCAGTAATGGGCATGATGCAGGAACGTCATTAGCCCGGACCTCTCAGCAGAAGGCTGAAGATCGAACGACTTTGGGTTCGAGATGTGTACGGAGGATCTTCGAAAAGAAGCAGAGAAAAAGCGACTTCCCACGCTGTGATGGATCCTGTGTGACGTCATCGATTCTGACTCGTAATCCCCTTATTTACCGAATTTCCTAAGTTTTGAAGAAAGGAACAAACGCCTTGATGAAATCCCTCTCAGAAACACCTCCTCTCATCTAGAGCTCCACCGGTTTATGTAGCCCGCCGCCCGTGGAAAGCCAAAAAGATCTCTTTGTGGTCAGTCCGATAGATTTCAGATTTAAGGATAAAGCTCCTGGCGTTGATTAATCCTTGAGCGATGCGCCATGCATTGGATTCCATTCGTAGCATCATAAAAATTGCTGAATACATAGCTGGCCTTTGAAGTGACTCGTGGTTGCCTACTGACGTATTGAGTCAATGCTGCTATCCTTCCAGACAAGCCGGGTAGCAACTCACCGACCCCGGATGGAAGGTTTGGTGAACCTTGAGCGAGGGATCGAACCATTGAGCATTGACTGATCAACCATCTATGTGTCATAGAGCGTCTCTAAGCATTGCGCCACAGGTGTACGTTACTCCAATACAAATTACAAATGAGTGGAGATTAAACAGGTCGTCTAATCCAAGGTTATATGAGAACGCCTACTCGTGCCATATAGTGCTGGACCAGAAAAGTCGGACTCCCTCCCCGGACCCCAGAATCAGGTGGCCGATGTTCCCGATCGAATCTCGCCTTATTTTTGCAAGGACTTTTGCAGATTACCGTAACTCTTGCAAATCTACTTTCACAAAATAGTGGACTAAGAGTCCCGAGTGGACACTGGCTAACTCAACTGGGACCAGCCTTAACCCCGTGGGTTCCCCTCCACGTCCAATTAATGATCGCCATCACCACGCAGATGATTTTACGTGACTACGCACCACGTATCGTGCCAGGACCACCGGCTACCGTAATCCGCAAGTGCGATTACGTGGGTCCTGAGATGATGTACCGTAGTTCATTGAGGTGAAATGTTGTTGAAACAACAAAGGACTTCCCCGAGCGGCCATTGTCGATTTACTTGCTCCTCGACAGACAGTCATGACTTCGTCCACCAACAGCCCGAATTTCGCTACTGTTAAGGTCGAGTAAGTTGCCTTCGTCGTGTGGATTCAGAATCTCCTTTTAATCAAAAAGAGATTATTTTCCAAATTAAAATAGAATTTTGAGAGTTGACGAGGCGGAGCCCGACGGGACACGCGGACATCGCTGGACTCAGCGGATCGCGCTCAATTCCGGACTAGCGGTATCTCGATTTTTTTGGATCTGTATTTATTCGTCAAATTAGAAGTTCTTTGTGTTCGATGGTGCTGTTCGTACCAGCAGCAATGCGTGGCGTCGGCGAGCGATTTGTCTTGCTTATTTGTTTATTTGTCTATTTTCCGTTCTTTTACATGTTTCACATGAACGCACGTGGTGCAGTGGTTAGAGGTGCTCTGCGTCGCACACCAGGTCGATGGTTCGATCTCGCGCTTGGCTCACTAAGCCATCCATCCTTCCCGGGTCGGTCAGTTGGTATCAGACTGATCCCAGACTTGTCTTGGGGATCAGCAGTAGTGACTCGACACAGCGGGAAGCCATCGCGAGTCCTTGAGAAGGCCAGATAGGTATCCTGTCATTTCTATGGTGCTACGAATAGTATGCAATGCACGGCACATCCTACAGGGATTGATCAAAGCCGACAGCTTTATCCTTTTTTTCTTTGTTACATGTTTGTTTGTTCATCTGTTTGTTTCTACATATAGATGCGCTGTAACGTAGAAGTAGTGATGAGTAAAACGGGCGTCAGTAGTGCAATTGGTTAGAGCACGCGCTCCCGGATAGATTTATGAATCGGGTTCGAGTCCCGACTGACGCGGAAGTTTTGCACATCACTATACGTTACAGGGTATGTTTGTTTTTTTTTCAAAATTTGCTTACCTTCTTGTTTGAGGTCATCCGTCTTGGTAATGGTGATGGTGGTGGCGGCGGTGATTTGTCCAAGGGGATTCGTCTCAGGTACGATGTGCGGGAGCCGAACGATTCCACTACTTCCACCCTAACAACCCCAGCAGCCCCGAAGAAGATCATTATTGGGCGACGTAGGTTTCTCGATGAGTTGCTATTGCGATTCTTTTCAGCTCTGTTGCTTATTCACCTCTATTTATACTTATTTTGAAAGAAAATTCCCTGTTTACCCTTTCATTTCCACGTAAATTTTGTATTCTGTCAAACCTCCAGTCAATTCTAACCTCAGTTTGTAGCCAGTCTCGATTCGAAATGTGAAACGCGCACAGAGCTGGGTAAAGAGATTGGAAAATTAGGTCAGCAAGCGATCAATCAGCATGCGCCAAAGAAAACTTCCCTGACAATTAAAGGTGAATCCCTTTCATTATATAGGTGGTTATATATATTATTTATTTATTTATTTATTTATTTTATTTCATTTTGAAGTATTTTTTACTTTTGAGACAGAGGATTTCGTCCAGCGACACGACACTCGTTTATGTCGATTTCAGCGCTAAAATTTACAGAAAATTTTTGAATTCGCTTATTTTTCTGCGATAGTCCTTTAGAAATTTTGGAAATAACGCGGCATTCTTGGAAAAGCGTTTTTTTTTTGTCGTAGAATGATTGGGTACTTTGAGGTTATGAGGAGGCAAATGAAAAACGGATCCCATTCGCTGGAGAGGAACTTTTCATGGGGGTGTTAGTGACCATTCGAAAGCTGAGACTTCAGGCCACAGCCCCACGCTGGCGATTTTTCAAAACACCGTTACGTCTCTGTGAAATCCAAAATATAATTAGCCCCATAAGCGCATATTTCTCGCCGAACAGAGCTCTTTCTTTGGACTACTAGTAGTCATTCGATAGCGTAATCGTAGCTAATTACAGTTTTATCGAAAATCGGCAATATGGGGCCTGTAGCTTGAAGTTTCAGCTTTCGAATGGTTACTAACACTCCAATGAAAAGTTCATAGATTAAGTCTCTCTTGAGTCGCTTCTGCTCCAAACTTTGCCACTCGCTGGAACTTCTTTTGTACTTTGGATATCAACGAATTTGAATATCTATTGATTACAGATCTTACGGGAAGTTCGGTGAAGTTATGGCGAACTCCTTCTGGAAAGCTGGTGCGACTGTGCAGTAAACTACCAGTTGATCGATCACATGCTCCAGTTCACGGACTTGTCTCATCTCAACCGAAATTTATCAGATTATCAAATGGGAAACTGGCTAAAATCACTAAGAAGGTGACTTTTCTCATTCATATGCGTCATGAACACCATGATAACTTATATGTATGTATATATGCATATATATGTATGTATATATATATATATATGTATATATATACATATATACATGGTTCTCTTTGGTTAAGAGGGGACAAGAAACTAGCGATCTTATTTCTTGGAGAGGAACTTTCCATAGGAGTGTTAGTAACCATTCGAAAGCTGAGACTTGAGGCTACAGTACCACTTAGCCTATTTTCGAAAAAGACTTTTTGACGTTGTTGCGGACGCGCATGTTTCTCGCCGGACAAAGCTTTTTCTTCAAACTATTGGTAATCTTTCGATAGCGCAATCGAATTTGATTCCCACACTGTACTTATATCCTGAAAAGGCCGCTTCTCTGAAACGCTGCAGGTAGAATAAGTCGAATTCCCATCTGCGATCAGTGGGCCGCGTCAGCCAACTCAAGTGCGTCCAGCTGTTCGATGACGCGATGACTGTCAATTTTTGGGGCATATGAACCGTATAGAAGTATCGCGTCAGCTGTTCACCTGGTCGCCTTACGCATCAGAACGTGAGTTCGCCGACGCGGCCATTGATCGCAGATGGGAATTCAACTTATTTTACCTGCTGTGTGGGTATAAGCACAGTGTTGGGAACAAATTCGATTACGCTATCGAATGATTACTAATAGTCCAAAGAAAGAGCTCTGTCGCGCGAGAAATATCCTTGTCTGAGTCATAGTTTTATGTGGAAAACACAGCTTTACGAAGAGTTTCTTGACAAACCGGCGACGTGGGGCTGCAGACTTATGTCTCAGCTTTCTGATGTTCACTATACACTCCTATGAAAAGTTCTTCTCCCGCGGCTGTGGTCGGTTTTTCATTTCTCCCCTCCTGATCAGTAGGAACCATACACATATAAATATTTACATATGCTTATGTGCGTTTACGTGTGTATAGGTGCATGCACATGTATGTGTGCGTACACATGTGTATATATACATACATATGCATACATATATACCTATGCACATGTACATCATGTATATGTACATATATGTATACATACTCATATACATCTGTATACATGTAGGTGTAGCGCAGTGGTCAGAGGTGCCCTGCGATGCACACACGGTCGAAGAATCATTCTTGCGTTCAAGGTTCACCTAGTCTTCTATCTCTACGGGGCAGGTGAATTGGTATCATACTCGTCTGGGAGGATAGCAGCAATGTCTTGATACATCAGTAAGCCACCGCGAGTCATAGTAATGGCTAGGCTTACGTTCAGCCACCTCTAGCGGTGCGCATCCCTCAGAATTTGATCAGCTACGACAACCTTGTCTTTTATCCCATATATACATATATATGTATATAATACGTAAGCATATATACATACGTACACATACATGCATACGAATGTATGTGTATGTACATATGTACATTTATATACTTACATGTGTATTTATGTGTAACTTTATAGCTATTAACACTCATGGCTCAATGTGTGTAGAGAGGCCACGTTTAGGGCCGTGATTATAGTTTGTGATTTGCCGACCGCTTTATCTTTCTGCCTTGAATTCAGGTATACGTATATGTGTATATGT